TCATCGACTTAGTTTATCAACAGTCAACTGTGATCGATTGTGAACGTCATGATAGAATTGTTATTCCTTACCAATGATGGATTCGGGACAAAGTTCATTGGCGATAGAAATGTAAACGTTAAACATTTTCGAAGATATTTTAGCAGTTGTCACGTTTAAGTAACAGAGAGACGTACAAATGTATATACTATATATATATGGGTTTATACGTCTCTGGTTAATATCATTGAGAAACATTGTTTGGAATATGAGCCAAAGTTTAGCCAATGTTAACCTGTGAAGGTGCAGTTTTAATTTATATACCAAAATATCTCAGTAGCAGACTAACAATTGTATCAACGGACATTTCAAATCAAATCCACGCACCTGCGCAGACAACCGCGGTACTAGATAAGATTGTGCTTATCTCATACAGTAGACATGTGCTTGTTTTGTAATTAATCAAAGGTAATTTACAGGTGAGTCAGCACACGACAGGGCCCCTGTTCTGACCTGTGAGGTCAGCAGCACAAACACACACATTATTTCCGGTTGATGTCTGTATTGGTTTTGTACTACAAAATGTATAGAGACCTTTCAGGTATACGTCTTATCAAGCCAGGTAGCTTAACAAAGACTTGTAAATTATTCATTCCTTGCTTAAAAGAGTTTAATCACAAATACTTGCAATAAATTGCATGCCAAATGTCATATCACAGAGACAAATAAATTAGCGGATACTAATTGTACAGTACCTTATAATGTTTAAGTGATGAAGTGACGCACAGATTCGAGGGACCGGATGTAAATCACATTCCGCACTGGTATATTACAATAATGCTGCATTTCAAAGCATTATTAAACATCCACTTCTTTTTGTAATGTATCATGTACAATCCTAAGTTAGTTAACTAGCGGCACCTGGCCATTCTTGATGCCCGAACGAAGTGCCCCCCCCCCCCCATTTTTATCCTTTTTACATTTGTTTGTTGTTTGCGGGTGGGTTATAATTTCTTTGATACTGAAAATAGTAATCGTAACGCTTTTTGTATTTTATTTTATGTTGTTAATTGTATGATTAAATTATAGTTTGTTATTTTATAAACAATGTCCAAAATCCTCTGGAGCATCAATATTACAACTACTTTTTCATATAATGTCATATACAACTGTGATAAGTAAACGTCATTATACACCTGTAATAAGTATACGTCGTTATACACCTGTAATAAGCATACGTCGTTATACACCTGTAATAAGTATACGTCGTTATACACCTGTAATAAGTATACGTCGTTATACACCTGTAATAAGTATACGTCGTTATACACCTGTAATAAGTATACGTCGTTATACACCTGTAATAAGTATACGTCGTTATACACCTGTAATAAGTATACGTCGTTATACACCTGTAATAAGTATACGTCGTTATACACCTGTAATAAGTATACGTCGTTATACACCTGTAATAAGTATACGTCGTTATACACCTGTAATAAGTATACGTCGTTATACACCTGTAATAAGTATACGTCGTTATACACCTGTAATAAGTATACGTCGTTATACACCTGTAATAAGTATACGTCGTTATACACCTGTAATAAGTATACGTCGTTATACACCTGTAATAAGTATACGTCGTTATACACCTGTAATAAGTATACGTCGTTATACACCTGTAATAAGTATACGTCGTTATACACCTGTAATAAGTATACGTCGTTATACACCTGTAATAAGTATACGTCGTTATACACCTGTAATAAGTATACGTCGTTATACACCTGTAATAAGTATACGTCGTTATACACCTGTAATAAGTATACGTCGTTATACACCTGTAATAAGTATACGTCGTTATACACCTGTAATAGGTATACGTCGTTATACACCTGTAATAAGTACACGTCGTTATACACATGTAATAAGTATACGTCGTTATACACATGTAATAAGTACACGTCGGTATACACCTGTAATAAGTTCACGTCGTTATACACATGTGATAAGTATACGTCGTTATACACCTGTAATAAGTATACGTCGTTATACACCTGTAATAAGTATACGTCGTTATGGCACAAAAACATTTATTTAATGTAATTATAAGAACACGTGGACTGATGGAAATAGCTCGTTATTACTATATATACATATATGTATAATAAATAATAATGCAATAGTATGTAGAAATGTTATACCTTTAATTGAAAATTAACGCAAATATTAATGACTGGTAGCTAGTATTATTTCAATAATTTGCAACTTAATGCGAATATATCATCCTATATATTAGTTCAAACACAGCGATTACATATTACTAAATCTATGAATAAATGTAGTACTAACAATCCGAATTATGAATCAATATTTCACGACAGCATATTACTAAGTTAAAACAAATAAGTTGGTAACTAACACTGACTAACAAGCATATAGACTTAAAACAACGAGGAAAACGAATGAACACCTGGTATTTGTAGTATCAATATTATCAGACTGAAACTCACTATCTATGTTCATCAATAGGGAGGCGCCCCGATCAGAGAATTACGTGCAGTTTGACCTGATCGTTGGCAATGTGACGTAACATATTGAGTAATCCCGTGTACGTATGGGTGTAAAGGTGTGGAGACTTTGAAGTCGTACACGTTTTGAAAGAAATATTGTAGACGCGCTGAGGAGAAAAGACAACGTTAAATTTATATACGTTATAAGGTAGTCACACCGAATAAAAAATACATATCCTGTAGCATTACTCACTCGCTAAACATACTGACAGCTAGGTATGTAAGATATGTTCTTTATTATACAACTCAAGCATTGATAACCCAGCTCTTTACCTGTGCTCACCTGGTATTATCTGGCGTTCGAGAATGTCTGACACTTAACGGAGACAAGGTGTTACATAATATTTACAGTCTACCATAACCATACTGTAGGTTTTATTAATACATTGTAAGACGAGTTTGTATTTTGTAATGTTATAAGCATTAAACTTTGTATAATGTATAAAAATAATGTAATAAACACTAAGTCTGTATTGTAACATCGTAACAGACGTTCATTGTAATGTAACATTGTAACAGACGTTCATTGTAATGTTACGTAGTAACAGACGTTCATTGTAACAGACGTTCATTGTAATGTAACATTGTAACAGACGTTCATTGTAATGTTACGTAGTAACAAACGTTCATTGTATTGTTACATTGTAACAAAGTTTATATTGAATCGATATTGTAACAAATAATGATATGGTATTCCTACAGTGTAACAAACTTTTATTTTTTCCGTGGCGTAACAAACATTTGCATATGTTGCTACATTGTAACTGACGTTTTGTATTGTTTAAGTGTAACAAACGGTAGTTCATATTGTTACTGTGTCACAGGTCCGAACATCAGTTTGTATTGTTACAGTGTAACAAGCGGTAGTTCATATTGTTACTGTGTCACAGGTCCGAACGTCAGTTTGTATTGTTACAGGGTAACAAACGGTAGTTCATATTGTTACTGTGTCACAGGTCCGAATGTCAGTTTGTATTGTTTAAGTGTAACAAACGGTAGTTCATATTGTTCTTGTGTCACAGGTCTGAACGACAGTTTGTATTGTTACAGTGTAACAAACGGTAGTTCATATTGTTACTGTGTCACAGGTCCGAACATCAGTTTGTATTGTTACAGTGTAACAAACGGTAGTTAATATTGTTACTGTGTCACAGGTCTGAACGTCAGTTTGTATTGTTTAAGTGTAACAAACGGTAGTTCATATTGTTACTGTGTCACAGGTCCGAACATCAGTTTGTTTTGTTACAGTGTAACAAACGGTAGTTAATATTGTTACTGTGTCACATGTCTGAACGTCAGTTTGTATTGTTACAGTGTAACAAACGGTAGTTCATATTGTCACTGTGTCACAGGTCCGAGCGTTAGTTTGTATTGTTACAGTGTAACAAGCGGTAGTTCATATTGTTACTGTGTCACAGGTCTGAACGTCAGTTTGTATTGATTAAGTGTAACAAACGGTAGTTCATATTGTTACTGTGTCAGAGGTCCGAGCGTTAGTTTGTATTGTTACTGTGTCAGAGGTCCGAGCGTTAGTTTGTATTATTTACGTCTAGCGAACGTTTGGGCTTTTCCTTGGTGTGACAAAATATGTAACAATACGTTTACATTGTATTGTTACAGGTTACAAAACGTTCATTGTATTGTTACATTGTAGCAAACGTTCAATTTGTATTGTTACATTGTAACAAACGTTTACATTGTAGTGTTACATTGTAACAAACGTTTACATTGTAGTGTCACATTGTAACAAATGTTAACATTGTATTGTAACAATGTAACAAATGTTTGATTTGTATTGTTACATTGTAACAAACGTTTACATTGTATTGTAGCAAGGTAACAAATGTTTAATTTGTATTGTTACATTGTAACAAACGTTTAATTTGTATTGTTACACTGTAATGGTAAATTGGTAATGTAATAAAACTATCTTTGTAGCTGATTAACGATCCCGGTAGTAAACTATGTATAATACTGTACCGTTGATTACCTTCGTCATCGTTTTATTACTAAGTCTATAATAATTTGGATGTGTGTATACGTTGTCAGCGGACCGTTACACGCCCACTAGTCAGGCACACGAGTGTAGTGTCTGTGGTGTCCCTAGCTGTCCTCGGGATTATCAAGTAAACTTCAACTAGCGGATGTTTCGATAAGACTTTATAAACAATCACATCAACGCTACCTATACATTTTGTACACGCACACAGGTAACATGCCCATCAGGTATATTTACCACAGGTTAAAACTACAGGTACGCTCCTTCCTTTGATTCACATGAATTAGTCATCAAAACTTTTGGAGACGGTTTACCCGGATCGATTTGTTAGTTAGGGCATGCGTCCTAAGGCTTTATTAGCATTCATGGCATTTCTATAAATAGAATATGTCCGCTACCCTTACACACCTTTAATAATACACATATACATGTATGAGCGACTGTCATACCGCTAGTGTGCGCCGGATCGGAAGTTTAAACTTGCAAACCGTAATACCCGGATTAGGTATAAGGAAAAGGTAAAATTATATTTATATGATCGAGTGATTAGTCATCGAGCGTTTGAGCACTGGGGCTGACTTCTAACACCTGAGCGGCGACGCGCTGTAGTGCATACCTGGGATATATCAATACAGCACACATTTCCGCCATAAGGCCTTTAGTCAACAACACTGGTATCAAACTGTATAGGCGTGGACTCGTCATGGCATAGACAACCGTGTCCTTCTATTCCGTTTGTGTTTCGATGGATCTAATTATGAAAATGTAGATTCTGTGTTTTATTTAAGTTTTCGTTGTGTGGATTATATACCTGGAGGTTAATGGTGTGAGTCTGTATACAATTTTTTAAAATTTGATTGGTTCACCTTTAAAGAATTCCAAGATGGCGACCGCCATACAGGTAACTTTGTGTAGATTACTTAAGGTTGGTATTGTCGTTCTTCTTTTTCCGTTTATTGGAGTATCAGCCATTGAAGTACATATTGAAGTCCCCAGCAATGTACCGAGCGGTTTCTACGTAACAAAACTGGGCTGTACTGGGAGGGGCATAATGCTAGACGTCCCTGAAAATGAAATCCAACTGTTTTCTGTAACAGGAACTGGTGAATTGGTTTTAAAACAAACTTTAAGTAGTTATGAAAATCAGCTGTTGACCGTCCAAGTGACTAGATTAACATCTAGGACGGAATGTCCACGAAAAACAAACATTCCCAAAATTTCGAGACTGTTTATCGCCGTCAAACCTCCCTCACATTTTATCAATTTTCCAAAGGAGACAAATGAAATCCGAGGTTTTGTAGACTTGGCCAGATCCTCCCATGTACGGGGTAGGGACATTGAACATCTACTCGGGGCTTTCCATACACTGTCCCCCATATATACGCTGGTGGGAAATACGGAAGCAACAGACTTATTTGTAATTCGAAAAGGCACATCTGGAAACCTGCGATTACATGTATCTAGCTCTGACGTGCCATCCTCCCGGGTTTACCATCTGATATGTAAGATGGACAGTTCGGACGGCCGCGTCTTGTTTACCAACATCCGTGTAGATATTCTTAACGGACACAACATAATGTCACCCGTCAAACCGGACATCACCTGCACGCGAGAGCCATCAGTACATATTAATAGTCACCATGACGTTCGGACACCATCCCATGATTTAACTGTCACCTTTGACCAGCACAAGACAATGACCGATGAACAGACCGCAAGACGGACAAACTTCCACCACCGGAACAGGCGACAGGTAAAAACCACCGCTGTCACAAAAAGCGTCGACGAAGGCACCACTGGAAATTTGTACGACTTCAGTCGACAAGGTACCGGAACCACATTCGAACTTAAACAGGCGGTACCGGATATGGTGACAGTGAACACAAATGGTCAAGTGTTTCTCAAGGCAGGTCAAGTATTGGATTACGATAACGGCGCAAAATCGGTCCTGGTGGAGGTGAACGAGAAAACCGGAAACGGAGCTACAGGTAATCCAGGTACCACTTGTGGTTCCTATACTATACTTATAACTGTTATTACTGCTGAAAGTACATTCTGATCATTTCCTTCGTCAGTAAGATGAAGTAAATGAACTTTAATTGTTCGTGTTCTATGAGACCAATGCTAATGTAAGTCAAACCACTATCGACATTACTTACGGATAATATAAACCTACACGTGAAGAGGGTATCACTTATTGGTATTATAGGTAACAAAAACAGGCATATATAGGTAACATACACAGGTATACTAGGTAACATACACAGGTATAATAGGTAACATACACAGGTATACTAGGTAACATACACAGGTACGTTAAGGTAACATACACAGGTACGTTAAGGTAACATACACAGGTACGTTAATGTAACATACACAGGTACGTTAAGGTAACATACACAGGTACGTTAAGGTAGCATACACAGGTACATGAAGGTAACATACACAGGTACGTTAAAGTAACATACACAGGTACGTTAAAGTAACATACACAGGAACGTTAAAGTAGCATACACAGGTAATTGTAGGTAACATACACAGGTACGTTAAGGTAACATACACAGGCACGTTAAGGTAAAATACACAGGTACATGTAGGTAACATACACAGGTACGTGTAGGTAACATACACAGGTTCGTGTAGGTAACATACACAGGTTCGTGTAGGTAACATACACAGGTTCGTGTAGGTAACATACACAGGTTCGTGTAGGTAACATACACAGGTTCGTGTAGGTAACATACACAGGTTCGTGTAGGTAACATACACAGGTTCGTGTAGGTAACATACACAGGTTCGTGTAGGTAACATACACAGGTTCGTGTAGGTAACATACACAGGTTCGTGTAGGTAACATACACAGGTTCGTGTAGGTAACATACACAGGTTCGTGTAGGTAACATACACAGGTTCGTGTAGGTAACATACACAGGTTCGTGTAGGTAACATACACAGGTTCGTGTAGGTAACATACACAGGTTCGTGTAGGTAACATACACAGGTTCGTGTAGGTAACATACACAGGTTCGTGTAGGTAACATACACAGGTTCGTGTAGGTAACATACACAGGTTCGTGTAGGTAACATACACAGGTTCGTGTAGGTAACATACACAGGTTCGTGTAGGTAACATACACAGGTTCGTGTAGGTAACATACACAGGTTCGTGTAGGTAACATACACAGGTTCGTGTAGGTAACATACACAGGTTCGTGTAGGTAACATACACAGGTTCGTGTAGGTAACATACACAGGTACGTTAAAGTAACATACACAGGTACGTTAAGGTAACATACACAGGTACGTTAAAGTAACATACACAGGTACGTTAAAGTGACATACACAGGTTCGTGTAGGTAACATACACAGGTTCCTGTAGGTAACATACACAGGTTCGTGTAGGTAACATACACAGGTTCGTGTAGGTAACATACACAGGTACGTTAAAGTAACATACACAGGTACGTTAAGGTAACATACACAGGTATACTAGGTAACATACACAGGTACGTTAAAGTGACCTTCACAGGTACGTTAAAGTAACATACACAGGTACATGTAAATTATACAGATAACCATTAGATATAAGACATCATCAGCTGATGATTTATTTTTGGTTCGTTTTTAGTATTTGTTTAAAATAACTACAATCTGTACATCAAAGTTAAACAAACTACATCGAAACTTACGCTATAACCAGGCATATGATAGGACACATGCCAGTAACACGGGAACCTATAGCATCTAATATTGATGATCATCTATCTGTTTACACGGTAGAAATAATACCACCAAAGGCTTACAGCATACACCTGTATGTAATGGCAGATGCTACAATGGTGATATGGGGAGGGAGCCTGGGACCAAGGGTGAGGGGAGGAGGTATGCTGTCCCTAGGGACGGGAATTCTGGGATTAGGCGGTAGTATAGCGTTTGGTAGGGGTGGGGTGGAGGGGAGGGGTAGTTGATGGGAGTCCAGGTCGTTGGGATAAGTTAGATGATGAACGGTGTACTTGACGGGATCCTGGGCCCGTATTCGTGAAGCTTTTCATGGTCAAGCTTGGATTTTGGGCTCAAAATTCTTGTTCTTATTATAACTTAATAAATAAGTCTTATTTCGTCAATGATTTGTAAAGATTTTTGAAGAGACGTATAAATTAAAGCCAAATAACGTTTTCTTTGTTTACATATGACTTTTCGATCGTTTGACATAATCTAAGCGAGTAACAAGAAAGTTTGTTTGAGCACGGAATCCATGCTTCAGCATGAGAACGGTTTCATGAATACGGGCCCTGGTTGCACACAATACACAACGACAGTGTACCACAGGAACCTGAGAATTTGTTACAGCTATATTCGGACCTAAACTAAGGTGTTCAGAGTAGTTTTACATGTTTTAGGGGTTTAAATCAACTTTCGGTAAAAATGACTCCCCAATGATCATATATACGCCCCCAATAATAATATATACAAGCTCGTATATATGATCATATTGGGGGTGTCATTTTTACCGAAAGTCGATCTAAATCCCTAAAACAATTAAAATTACTCTGAACACCTTAGTTTAGGTCCATATATAGTTGTAACAAATTCTCAGGTCCCTGTGGTCGTACGATATACACTCTGACTGTTAAAATATCAATAAGTTACACAATAGGTGTTTTCATTCCATTAGCAGACAGTCCGTATAAACAATGACGATGTTGTTTAGTCTATTTATCATAACAATCAGCTACACAACCTGATTCGTACTGCAAAAACACGAAGTATCCTCTTACTAATTGTAGACCGATCAGTTTCTCTCTCTGAAACGGTGGTTTATTACATATAAAACTTAACAATTATTAAGACAATTACTTTGCCACTTAAATACACGATAAATGTTGACCATTTTCTATGCGTTACCGTGCTGAAAAACTGTTTCCTCCTCATATTGTCATGTAAAAAGTTAACCAGCGTCATTCTGATCTAAAACGAATGACGTCATATGATCAAATGACGTCACATTTAGTGGTATAATACAGTAAAACTGGGGTCGTTCTAATCTAAAAATATATGACGACACGACGTCATTTGGTTTTGCACGGTAATCGGGATCTTATTGATAATTTACGTCATGCTATTAAATTTGTTGTTTTATTCGGTAACCGTAGTCATACTTATCTCAAAATATATGACGACACAATGTTTTTTGCTGTATGACGTCAGAATTAGGTGCGATTGATACCGTTAAATACTACCGTGTAAATGATTAAAGTTATTACATATGTAGAGTAAATATATTACTTTGATTGATACCGCATCACGTCGTTCCAACATACAAATGTACGTTATATTGCAGTTATACCAACATTTCATGAACACTTATGCGTACATTTTCTGTGCTTTGTTGTGCTCGATCTGTGTGTAATAAAAGAATGGAATGTACCCCTGGCCATGTGTTATAATGGCCGATTTATGAGGTGGTCATACCGGCATACGGTTCAATCTCCCATCTGTTGACACGATAACGGATCGACAGGTGTCTTATAATTAAACCGTGAAGGTCAACGGTACCATTCAAGGTCAACCTGTACAGGTTATAAAAACTTCCCTAACGGTCAGAAACAATAAATAAAGTGTGAGTAAAATGTTATTCAGATGTTTTCAAAATTGCCAAGTTTAACGTGTTTTGGGGGCAGACTGGAACAAAAAATTAGAGTGACATATATATTTCTAAACGTATTAGCGAACGACTTTGAGATGCATTCTGTTCAATTTCATTGCATTATGCACCAAAGAGGATTAGCTGATACGAATCGAACTGCAAATAAACACTTCACAAATAAACACTTCACAAATAAACACTTCACAAATAAACACAACACACAGAAACACTACACAAAGAAACACTACACAAATAACACACTGTAACTATAAACAGACACCATATTTAATTTAATAGCAGTTTTGGTATTTTTTAAACTGAAAAAAATAGAAAACCAAATCTAAAGAAATCGCAACATATAAATAGGAGATGAATTTTGCTTCATCTTCTATATAAAGTAGCATACTTCACGTCTAAAATGTTTGTATTTAATTAACGTAAACCCCTACCAGTTAGTTTAGTACTTATAACTATTTATATAATTGGCTTTAATAATTACAGACATCAAATCGGCGGAGGACTTACCATAGAATTGTTACTACAAATACCAGACCAAAACATCGGATAATTGACTTACAAAACACATAGTAGGATTTGTATAGTTCTGGCATGTCAAAGACTATGAAGGTGATCATTGTCGACAATTCTCATGAACAAACACAGAGCTTCCGACAAATACACGGCGGCCAATTTCGTACTGTAATGCATTCCTTTATAATTTTCCGGTCAGTGCTGTTTATTACTTGCCGTACGGGTTGAACATCTACCATGTATATATCTAACAGGTACACACTAGAATGTAGACAATCATCTAATACCATATATAGGTAGCCAGAGATATGTAACTACACCCCAGTGTAATCAGAAATGTAACCACATACTTGTAGCTACAATTAGACGTTTGTAACTACATCTCAATACAACCTCACCTGAAACTACAACACAATGTACCGAAAGTTCTGTAACTACAGCTCCATGAGGCCGGACCTGTAATTACAACACAAAGTAACTATTTATGTAACTACAGCTCCATGAGACCGGACCTGTAATTACAACACAAAGTAGTTATTTATGTAACTACAGCTCCATGAGGCCGGACCTGTAATTACAACACAAAGTAGCTATTTATGTAACTACAGCTCAATGTAGCCGGACCTGTAATTACAAAACAACGTAACTAGTTCTGTAACTACAGCTCAATGTAGCCGGACCTGTAATTACAACACAAAGTAACTATTTATGAAACTACAGCTCAATGTAGCCGGACCTGTAATTACAAAACAACGTAACTAGTTCTGTAACTACAGCTCAATGTAACCGGACCTGTAATTACAACACAAAGTAACGAGTTCTGTTACTATAGCTCAACATAGCTGGACCTGTAGTTACAACACAATGTAACTCACAATGTAACGACATTTGTAACTACAACTCAATGAAGCTAGACCTGTAATTGCAACACCATTTTACGAGTTTTGTAACTACAGCTCAATGTAACCGGATTAATAACTACAACTCAATGTAGCCGGATTAGTTACTACAACTCAATGTAGCCGGACCTATAATTACAACACAATGTAGCCGGACCTGTAATTAGAATTATAACTCAATGTAGCTGGACCTGTAATTGCAACACAATGTAGCCGAACCTGTAATTATAATTACAACTCAATGTAGCCGGACCTATAATTACAACTCAATGTAGCCGGATTAGTTACTACAACTCAATGTAGCCGGACCTAATATTACAACACAATGTAGCCGGACCTGTAATTACAACTCAATGTAGACGGACCTGTAATTACAACACAATGTAGCCGGACCTGTAATTACAACTCAATGTAGACGGACCTGTAATTACAACATAAAATAACTAGTTTTGTAACGACAGCTCAATGTACCGAAAGTTATGTAACTAGGGCCTGTAATACAAGTCAATGTGACTTATTTTGAATTATAACTCGGACTTAATATGTAACTGCAATTTATTGTTGGCAGATTAGTAACTTAACGACCTGTGACAACTATATAACCACCACTCCATGAATATAATTGAATACATTCACTGCCGATCGTGAGCACCGGAAGGATTACAGCGCATTTCTTGTCGTTTCCTCACATTCTGTGGGACCGTGTTAAGTTTCTAAGGCTGAAAGAACTGTATTTGTATTATAGTAAGATACGTTACGGGTCTCCTAGCTTAGACTGTTGTAGCAGGTGTCTTTATTGTCCCTGTAGTACTGAATATCAGATTGTATTTGACATCACCTATGATGTTTCCGAGGGAAATGACTGAAGTGTGCGACATGTATACAACTTTTTTTCAAATTTTATTTTGTTCTCTTTACAACATATTAATGATTTTAAATAATGTCACTATCTACCTGCTTTAATGATCGATTGTGTCTGTTAAATATTTACTCTGCGCCACAATCAGCACGTTTGTCGGGTCGGTCTTGTTTGGGTTTAGTTTTTTTGATCTTACAAAACTGAACAGATAAGTAACCGCTTACTGCTGGCTTACCTCACATCTTTTGTGGTTTGTTATCGCTTATCAAGAAGTGACGTCATTTTGTTTACCCCGCTCGACATTCCGGACATTCCGCCTGGAGATCTTTTACACCCGTATCGATTAGTAGTTTAGACTATTCGCTTGTCAGGAAGAAAAATACAGATTTGAGTTTTTGTACTCTTTCCAATTTAGACTATTCTTTTGTCGCGAGGAAAAAAGTACAGATATTGAATTATATATACATTTCCATTTAAATCATTCTTGTGTCATATAAAGAAAAATACGGATATTGAATTATATATACATTTCCGTTTAAATCATTCTTGTGTCATATAAAGAAAAATACGGATATTGAATTATGTATAATATTTCCACCCGTGGGCATACTCAGTGAGAGAGTGAACTAAAACACTTCACTTGTCTATAAGATTTGGTACCTGTACGTGCGAAAAAGTTTTAGGAGTCATATTTCAAATTATCGTATGGTACGACTGTAAAGCTATAAATTGTATAAAGTGGACAAAACCAGGCAACGTGGCGACTGTTTAAATTCTGACACCTGCCTGCCTATAGCAGATAAACGATGCCCCTGGCTCAGGACATCGCTCTGTCGCATATATAGCCTCAATGAGTCTGTTGAACCGGAAGATCCACAAGAAACGTTTAAAAAATGATCGCGCTTGTAAGTTTTTTTCTGATTATACACATGGGTATAAATTCGAAGGTTGGGAAACATACATGTATAAATTGTAGGATTAAGTACGAAATCGCCCGGTGAATATTTAACAGCTTTAAAAGTCTCCGAATAAGAGCAGTAAAATTTGCTTATGGAAGTTTATAACAGGGTAATCAGAGGGAAATATAACTCATAGTCTTAAAAAGTGTGTCGTAGAAAGATAACGTGAATAAGGTATTGAAATTGCTAGAGATACTCAAAGGAACACAAAGACATTGTAAAGAGAGTTGCATTTTTGTTTTACTTTTCTCTTAATCAAAGGTACACTAAATATAATGATAGTCTGATGTATTTGGTGTAAATGATAATGAACGACAACGATTTCCACGATCTACTGTTTGACCCCAGAGAGTTAACTTTAATTTCCCAATTCTAACTAAATCATATTTAAGTATTATTTAGACAAACTGTTATATTTGATTTCTATTCAATGAGATGTTTATTACCCTGGTAACTTATCTAGTGAAATCACTTTTCCACTGGGGTTTGTGCTACGGGAAAATATCACACACATAAAAAACACATGAATTTAGGGAAATAATCTAATTTTCGCATTGAGCTTGGGATATAAAGAAGAACTGTTATTGGGGAATGCGCCTTTATAAGGCCTCGAATTCAACCTGAAAATCACTGGATGATCAGTAAGGTTTCGATGTTGTACGACCGTGTGGTGGTTGACTATTGTCCGGAACTATTGGTGAGATATATTTAGCTTTCTCAAGGTTTAGATGTTGTACGGCTGTGTGGTGGTTGACTATTGTCCGGAACTATTGGTGAGATTTTCTCAAAGTGAATTCTATACAGAACACGCTAAATGAAGGCATGATTAAAAAAAAAGTAACTAAAATAAGATTGGGCTACTTATAAAAATTGGGTCCAGCAATGTTAGAGTATAATCGTTGATGCAATAAATATGTAGTACTTTGTGTAAACATAATCTGGTGCTATTCGTGTATTTCTGGTGCTTGAAACGATACGGACTTGAGCAAGGCTACCCAGTATAGTTTTAAAAGGGCAGCGGAGGTAATCAATTCAAACTCCAGTGATTTAGTGAAATAAATCTAACGCCGAGGTCGAATTCGCTTGACGAATCTACCGACGTGGGAAACAAGTAAATCATCAATAAATCATGGAAATTGGATGTCATCCACCGGCGCGCCAAATACCGTATATGTACTGACATGTCCGACCTACCTGATATAAAATTCATTATTAATGATCACCTTCCTCATACTAAATAATAATTAAGGTTGCTAACTGTTAATAGATCGTGCAAATACATTTTTGTTGCAGTATTGTTTTGTATTTCACCATGTTTAATAACACAAATGTTTAAGTATTTCTAGTTGTTTACCAGAACTGGACAGAGTCGATCGCCGGCTAGGTAGGACGTCCGGTTGGAGTTCGATCGGAGGTCCTGTGTTCAAATCCCAGTCTGCTTGTTCTTTACTCTAGGTTAGGCTATATGAGCTGCGATGACGTCGAGAGATTTTTTTTTATATGGGCAGAGGAGGCCGGGAATAATATTAGTACTACTATATATATGATTAAATGGTCTCAAAAGAGGCCGATGTGCGGACTGGATTTGTTATTTGCACCCTATGTTACCAGAAGTCTAGACATAATTACTCTGTTGTTTGATGTCGGCGTTACCTCTGCCGCCGCAAGATAAACGGTTTTGTATAGTATTCCTGGTTTTAAAATGTTGTGAATATGATGACTTTACAATAACACGGACTGAGACAAGCATACGACACTGGTTTTATCTACATAGCCTGCTTAAACCGACCATAAATGATAATGATAGCAGGCTTCAAAAATCGTATTGAATCTAGCGGCACCGTTTGATATTAAATGATAGGAATATTTCTCCGATTTGTGTAAAGAACTTTTGGGAAACCTAGGCAACGTAGCTGACACAATAGATGGGCAGGAGAAGGGCTAAAATATGATAGGGTGTGATAGGAGATTCACAGCGTAAGTTGGTATTTAAGATAAAGGTTTATGTAAACTTTGAAGGGGGTAGGGGTTTAACTCATTCACCCCTGAAATTTCATAATACACTATTCCAACCTTTGAATTAGAAGAGTTAAAATGTGTCTTCAGTGGTGAATGAGTTAAGTATGAGGAGTTAACCACTAAGTTGATTTAAAACTTGAACTAAGTATAGCGGTTAAGATAGGGTAACCCCCAGGTTTACTAGGGTAACCCCGAGGTTAAGATAGGGTAACCCCCAGGTTTACTAGGGGCTGGTTCTAGTTTATATATCTATGTTTAGAGGGGTCTTGGTTGCTTTAGAAGTGTGGGAGATGGTTTGTACGTAAAATGGCCATATCTCTTTAACTGATCTAAATACTTGAAACCATTTTAACATTTCAGTGGCTTATGAACACACGTTAACACTAAAGGTTATGGATGTCAATGATGAAGTCCCGAAGATCACCAACATTCCCAGACCCATGCTTGCCAGGGTAAATGCGTGGGCTCCTGTGGGGACCACTTTTTACACGGTCACCGGCCTGGACCAGGACCAGGGGAGTGTACTGGGCTTTTACATGGAAGGTAAGTACATGCAAATACCAGGAGGTGATTTATAAACCAGGACTAGGTAGTCCATCATTTAAGTTCTCTGTAAAACTAATATAAAAGTGTCTGTGCAAACATATATCGGAAACAGGCAGACGTCACCTAAATGTTTGCTTTTGATATCTTTTTGGTTGAACAAGGCTGTAGAACAAACGTAAATATATTTTCATTTGTTAAGGCATTGTAGCTAGTGAGAAAAACAGTTAATTTATCAGTGAAACATTCTGTAACATTTAATAATACGTATTAACTAATGAAAATAATAATAAAGCTAAAACATGTCCACCCTTCCTATCATACACTCAGAAATAGCCACATCACTCACTTTGTCTATGAATTCACTTTGCAGGAACAAGTACTAAATTTGAGATAGATGAGCTGACGGGAGAGATCAAAACCAAGGCTGGTCTGACACAGAATTATGACGAGGATATTACTGTTTACCTCAAGGATAATAGCGCAGCCACTGAGCAGTCCAGTACTCGAGAAAAAGTGTCTATCACCACAAGTTATCGTGCCCCCCAGTTTTATCTCCCCGAATACTTTGCAGATGTACCTGAAAATGCTCAATTGGAACAAACGTAAGTGATTTTTCATAAACTGTACAATGCATTTACAATGCACCAAGTAGATTATATTGCTATGTACTTGGTATAACTATCTAATGTATAATATAACTTAAGGGTGTACAAGTATTATTTTACAATGCACAAGTATTAATACGCAATGTACAAGTATTACTATACAATGTACAAGTATAACTACACAATATACAAGTATTACTACACAATGCACAAGTATTACTATACAATGTACAAGTATTACTACACAATGCACAAGTATAACTATATAATATACAAGTATTACTACACAATGTACAAGTATTACTACACAATGTACAAGTATAACTACACAATATACAAGTATTAATACGCAATGTACAAGTATTACTATACAATGTACAAGTATAACTACACAATGTTCAAGTATTATTATATAATGTACAAGTTTAACTATATAATGTACAAGTATTACTACACAATGTACAAGTATTACTACACAATGTACAAGTATAACTATATAATGTACAAGTATAACTACACAATGTACAAGTATAACTATATAATGTACAAGTATTACTATATAATGTACAAGTATTACTATATAATGTACAAGTATTACTATATAATGTACAAGTATTACTATATAATGTACAAGTATTACTATATAATGTACAAGTATTACTATATAATGTACAAGTATTACTATATAATGTACAAGTATTACTATATAATGTACAAGTATTACTATATAATGTACAAGTATTACTATATAATGTACAAGTATTACTATATAATGTACAAGTATTACTATATAATGTACAAGTATTACTATATAATGTACAAGTATTACTATATAATGTACAAGTATTACTATATAATGTACAAGTATTACTATATAATGTACAAGTATTACTACACAATGTACAAGTATAACTACACAATGTACAAGTATAACTACACAATATACAAGTATTACTATATAATGTACAAGTATTACTATACAATGTACAAGTATAACTATACAATGTACAAGTATAACTATATAATGTACAAGTATAACTATACAATGTACAAGTATAACTATACAATGTACAAGTATAACTATACAATGTACAAGTATTACTACACAATATACAAGTACTACTATACAATGTACAAGTATAACTATACAATGTACAAGTATAACTATATAATGTACAAGTATTACTACACAATGTACAAGTATAACTATACCATGTACAAGTATTACTATACAATGTACAAGTATAACTACACAATGTACAAGTATTACTACACAATATACAAGTATTTCTATACAATGTACAAGCATTACTATACAATGCACAAGTATAACTATACAATGTACAAGTATTACTACACAATATACAAGTATAACTATATAATGTACAAGTATTACTATACAATGTACAAGTATAACTATACAATGTACAAGTATTACTACACAATGTACAAGTATAACTATACAATGTACAAGTATTACTATACAATGTACAAGTATAACTATATAATGTACAAGTATTACTATACAATGTACAAGTATAACTATATAATGTACAAGTATTACTACACAATGTACAAGTATAACTATACCATGTACAAGTATTACTATATAATATACAAGTATTACTATACAATGTACAAGTATTACTATATAATGTACAAGTATAACTACACAATGTACAAGTATTACTACACAATGTACAAGTATAACTATACCATGTACAAGTATTACTATACAATGTACAAGTATAACTACACAATGTACTAGTATTACTACACAATGTACAAGTATAACTATACAATGTACAAGTATAACTATACAATGTACGAGTATAACTATATAATGTACAAGTATAACTATACAATGTACAAGTATTACTATATAATGGACAAGTATAACTACACAATGTACAAGTATAAATATATAATGTACAAGTATTACTATACAATGTACAAGTATAACTACACAATATACAAGTATTACTATACAATGCACAAGTATTTCTATATAATGTACAAGTATTACTATACAATGTACAAGTATTACTATACAATGTACAAGTATTACTATACAACGTACAAGTATAACTACACAATGTTCAAGTATAACTATACAATGTGTAAGTATATATATACAATGTACAAGTATAACTAAACCATGTACAAGTATAACTTAACAATGTACAATTATAACTATACAATGTACAATTATAACTATACAATGTACAGGCATAATACAATTTACAAGCGCCACTAATACTATACAGTATAAAGGTATTACACAATGTACAACTTTATACTGTTAAAATATTTCTATACAATATATCTGTTAATGCTGTATTATTATTTTAAGAAATGTATCCTTGTACAATCTGCTAAATCTACACTATGCTTCATGTACTGCCTTCATATTTCCAGCTTCAAGCTACAGAACTCTGATTCAAATGAAGTAAATCTTCAGACTGTCAACTTTCAAAATGGAACAACAACTTATTCCATTATCAATCCGAGGACACAGGGGCCTAGTACACAGTTCAGTATCAAAGATGGACAGCTGTTGACCCTAACGACATATGACCATGAGAAGTTACCACAGTACAAACTGTCCCTGAAGGCCAAGGATAGTGTGTCGGATCTCTTCACTTTAATAAATGTAAGTCAGCTTTCTGTACCGCGTCTGATCTTGATACAGAAAAATTACAACTTAAACATACAGATATACCAATACCAGAACACTTGTTCTCTCTCACATACTGATATACCAATACCAGAACACTTGTTCTCTCTCTCACATACTGATATACCGATACCAGAACACTTGTTCTCTCTCTCACATACTGATATACCAATACCAGAACACTTGTTCTCTCTCACATACTGATATACCAATACCAGAACACTTGTTCTCTTTCACATACTGATATACCAATACCAGAACACTTGTTCTCTCTCACATACTGATATACCAATACCAGAACACTTGTTCTCTCTCACATACTGATATACCAATACCAGAACACTTGTTCTCTCTCACATACTGATATACCAATACCAGAACACTTGTTCTCTCTCACATACTGATATACCAATACCAGAACACTTGTTCTCTCTCACATACTGATATACCAATACCAGAACACTTGTTCTCTCTCACATACTGATATACCAATACCAGAACACTTGTTCTCTCTCACATACTGATATACCAATACCAGAACACTTGTTCTCTCTCACATACTGATATACCAATACCAGAACACTTGTTCTCTCTCACATACTGATATACCAATACCAGAACACTTGTTCTCTCTCACATACTGATATACCAATACCAGAACACTTGTTCTCTCTCACATACTGATATACCAATACCAGAACACTTGTTCTCTCTCACATACTGATATACCAATACCAGAACACTTGTTCTCTCTCACATACTGATATACCAATACCAGAACACTTGTTCTCTCTCACATACTGATATACCAATACCAGAACACTTGTTCTCTCTCACATACTGATATACCAATACCAGAACACTTGTTCTCTCTCACATACTGATATACCAATACCAGAACACTTGTTATCTCTCACATACTGATATACCAATACCAGAACACTTGTTCTCTCTCACATCGTCAGTGGGATTCAAGTGACCTCATTATTTAGAGGTTACAAAGTCTATAACAAGCAGGAAGTCAGTTGTAATATATTTACTTATTGTCTTAAGAAGCAAGTGATATTAACTCTAAAATTGACTTTAATTCTAAAAATGTAATTACCTCTAAGATAAGTACGTCTATAGTAATTATTTGAGAATCAGAATTTATGTGTGGCTCTTCAGAGCAATACTGAATGTTAAAGCCATCCTTTCTTGACGCAATAATGGGGAAAAAAATGTCCAAAATTTGTGCAGGCAATATTTTTATCCCAGGTAACAGCATAAAAAGTATCAGCAGTACAGTAGGCATGAATGATAGGATAGCATTTATCTTGAACATAAATAATCGTCAAAACTGTGGCAATATCAACCAACGGATAAATCAAGATTTATGAACTATTTATGACTTGCTTCCTATACCTCCTATAAGATGGACAATGTAAGTTCCTGTATGTATGTCTCTCACAGCTGACGGTCCATATCACTGATGTCAATGAGTACAGCCCTGTGTTTGATCTGTCCCCGGTTTTCGCAGAGGTTAAAGAGACACTGGGTGTTGCAGAAACAGCCATGACAGGTAATTATGTAATGGGGTTTAACTTTTGTGATAAAACTTTCTGTTGGAAAAAATAAAAATAAAAATAAGAGGTGATTGTAAGTTTTGCTAAATAAGAGAAATGAACATTTCATTTGTCGTTATTCTGTAGTAGTATACACAAATGAATAGTTAGGTTTTATGTTAAATTAATTCTCTGTAAACAGAAAACTGAAAATATTTAACAATTTGTTATATTTAAAAAAAAAAAGAAAAAAAGAAATTGGAGTTGATAAGTAATGCAGAAACAAAGTTGTAAAAAGTGTAAAATATGTACAAGTTGGCAATATAAAATTGACATCAATTTGGTTACCCTAAGCATATGTACCCATTAGTTGTTCTATATCTCCTATGGCTGTCAGTTAACTTTATAATAATTTTAACTACCAGGAAAACATAATTTTGCAATTAATTGTTGTCATTATTAGAATTATGCCCCCTGATATTTTTGTGTCCACTCCATATCTCAATTATTTATTCATCAGTGACCTTCAAACTTAATAACAAGGTCAATTACAGTAAGGCTCCACACAGCTGATAGTAACAAGGTCAATTACAGTAAGGCTCCAGACAGCTGATAGTAACAAGGTCAATTACAGTAAGGCTCCA